TTTCAATTAAAATCCAAATTTTCAACCGATGTCCGTTGGGATTTTTTTTTAAAATTTTCAAAAAAATTTCCAACCGGCATTCATTGGAATTCGGTTGGAATTTTTTTTAAAAAAATTTTCAAAAAAAATTCCAACCGGCATCCGTTGGAATTCCGTTGGAATTTTTTTTAAAAATTTTCAAAAAAAATTCCAACCGGCATCCGTTGGAATTCCGTTGGAATTGTTTTCTAACAAACATCCGTTGGAACTCCGTTAAAAATTTGCAACCGATTTTTCCAACGTTAATCCGTTGGAAATACCGTTGGAAATTTCCAACCCAATTTTTCAATTGAATACGTTGAAAATTCCGTTAAAAATTTCCAACGGGTGTTTCCAACGGATACCCGTTGGAAATTTTCAACGGAATTTCAACGGAAATCGTCGTTAAAACGCCGTTGAAAACCGTTGAAAATCCGTTGGAAAATCCGTTGGAATTCGAGGATTTTTTTGTAGTGATATATACACACATATGTATATGTGTTATATATGTGTGCGTTTTCTGTAACTTCATGGAGGCCGTAGTTACACTAAATCCTAGAGACGGTGTATGTTTGTATATATGTTATCGTTTCGAGAAGAAGCTATATAGTTTTTGTAATGGCGAATTTGTATGATTCCGCTTATGTTGTTAGAACACTTTGTTTTATCGCGCATGCATGTTGCTGTTACGAATCATCTTATATGTATAATGATAATTGATATATATATACATATATATATATATATATATATTAGTTACCTGTATATGTTCTCCGATTGTTTAGTCGTTCATTTAAGGCGAAAAAATATTTACGGTGGTGTTTAGGGGTGGTCATATGATTTTCTTTAAACTAAGGTAGGGTTGCAGATCGAATATGAAAATATATAACTAAAAATTGTAAGAAAATAAAATATCTTATTAATATGAGTATTAACGTTCAAACAGGAGCCGGATCGAAGCAAATCTGAAAATTTCCAAAATAACAATACTCGTATATGAAAATAAAAGATCGAAATAGAGCCGTTTAGTGTTATGTTGTATTCTCTCTTTATATATATATATATATATTAAAATGCAGTTTTTGATACAAAAGATTCGTATCTTAAAGTGGGGTTTGTTAATTTCGAAACCTTAACCATTGAGAACGCCCTGATTTAGACCAATGCGAATCAGTGGATACTAAGATTTTGGACTGTTTGCATATGCAATGTAAAAATAATAAATATATTTTTTTACATTTTATTTTGTGGAAATTGTATATTTCTTTGGACCATGTTTTAATTGGGCCATGTTAACGATAGGCTCATTTGTATCTTTCCCTCCATTTTCCTGAGACTCTGCCCCTCTCTCCCTCTCTCTCTATCTCTCGATCGTTTCGCTATTTTGTTACCATTGTCGGAGAGGCAAATCGAGTTTAAGCAGAATTCCATGCCGTGGCTTCTTCATCATCCGTTCCAAAATTCAGTCAAACCCTAACCCATATTTCTATTTCCCAATTTCTCTCCCCGTGTTCTGTTTCGAGGTTAAAGCACCGATCCTTGCCCATTTCGAGAATCTACTCTGCTCCTCTCGTAACGCAACGAGCTCGCTCTAAAACCGTCGTTTTAGCTGTCCAGTCCAATTTCCTGAAAGGTTTTTCACTGACCCATCTGCTTGATATCATTCAATTTCTTCATATTTTACTCTTTTCGTTTTCTCAAGTCGTTCCGGGGTTGCAATTTTTTGTTTCATCCAAATTAGATTGAGGGATTTGACCGGCAGTATACGAAATGGGTCTCCGAGAACTCCCCTTAAGTAAGAATTTTGGTGCCTGGGTTTATGATGGATTTTCCTTCGATGACGATGGGTCTGGTTAGAAATTGGTTTTGGAATCCGGCCCAAGATGAGGAGAGATTCTGCAACAGGCTGTTTGGTTGGTGGGAAACAGCGAGAAAATATCGGAGAAAGGTTTGTGATCTCTGTAGAGGAATGATACAGTGAGTACCCTTGTCTTTCCATGCATTGATGAAATCTTGTTTTCTGTCCATTGTTAGCTATTAGGTCTTTAGGGTTCTTCTGAACACAAATTTGTAGGACATGCTAAGAACGATGCTAAGTAACGTTTTGGAAATTCATCACCAATGCTTAGAACCATATGAAACTTTAGAGAGGATGTAATTGTGTTATGGAATAAACTTTGTTACAATTTGTCATTTTCAAATTAGAAGATGCTTAGTGCTTTGCTAAGATTTCTTCTACTGTAATGGAGTTTGTGAACAGTTCTTAGAACAGCATGGAACATTGGAAGAGATGGAGTTGAAGCCGGAACCAAACTTATACCTGTAGGTTCAGTTCTTGTCTGAAATCTGTACAGTTGCCAAACCGAGATTAGGGTTTGACTTGACTCGAGTGCCTGTTTACCATTGCGGCTCAAGGAATCTGTACCGATACCCGTGACCAGAGTTTCAGTTACAGTTTTTGCGTTGGTGGTTCCATTGTTTGCTCTCAAGTCATTCCTATCAACAGCTATCTTTGTGTCGGTATGTGATTTCACTTCCTCTTCCTCATCCTTCACTGTTAAGAAGCTAAAAGTCGGTTTATTTGATTGTTTTTCATGAATGTTGCAGGGTACAACGGGCTTTGCATACTTCTTATCCATGGCCCGAAACAAAGGACAAGCTCCTAGACGTGAGGAGGAAGTAGTTCTGGTTTCGAGCTCACGAAAGATCCACTAGAAGAAGCCAGGAATATCACGAAGAAGTACAAGTAAATCACTACAAAAAACAATTATATAGCGACGGAAAAATCCGTGGCAAATACAAAGGAAATCCGTCGCAATTAAGAATTTACGACGGAATGCGACGGACTTATTTCCGTCGCTATAGCACTGTTGCAAATGTATAACGGTTGTTAAGAAATCTGCGTTTTGCGATGGAAAATGACGGATAATTCTGTGCGACGGAATTTTTTCCGTCGCATCCCGTCGCAAATGTTTTAAAAATTTTTAAAAAATATATAAAAAAATTATATACTATATATACACGTACATATATATATTTTCACATACACATACATTCATACACATACATTACACACATACAAATATATATACACATACATACATATATATACACATATATTTTTATATACACATACTCATATATACACAAACACACATACACATTCACACATATACACATATACACATACATAAATACTCATACACATATACATTTCACAAACACATACACATACACATAAACACACACATATACACATATATTCATATACACATACAATCACATATACATACACATACATATTCACATTCACATATATACACATACACATACATAAACACACACACATACACATTCACACATATATACACATTCACTTACACATGCATTCACTTACACACATATACATTCACACATATATATACACATTCACACACAAACATACATACGTACATACATACATACATACAATACACACACATTAACAACACAAACATACATACACACAAAATATACATACACATATATACACACACAAAAAATATATATATATATATATATAATCCATATATACTCATATATACATATTCACACTCAAATACATATACACATACCTTGATATATCTTGGAGGAAAACAACGTTGGAAAAAAATTGGAGAAGATTAAGATTTTTTTTTTTGGAAACTTCAAAGTCTGAAAAAAGAAGACGAAGTCGGTGCTTTTATTTCGTGTTGCGACGGAAATTACCATCGCCATCCGTCGCAAAACGAAATAAAAATCGCGAAAATTTGAAAATTTTCATCAAAAATAACGAAATAAATGAAATTAGTAATTTCCGTCACAAATCCGTAGCTAATTCTAAAAAATAAATTAAATTAAATTAAAAACAATTAAAATTAGCATTTGCTACGGAAATTTCCGTCGCAAATAATGTTTGTTATTGCGCCGTCAACGTCTCCGTTGCATTCCGTCGCAAATTTTCGACGGATTTTACGACTCTTTGTGACGTAAAAATTTTTCCCGTATTCCGTCGATAAACCGTCGTATTCCGTCGTAATTTTGTATGCGACGGAATTTTCCGTCGCAAGTTTCGTAGCTATACGAGAATTTTCTTGTAGTGAATCCCTTTTCGAACCGATCTGATAATCATATCATGGCATTATATAGAATCAGAAATCTCCAATGTGATATTAGACTACATATCCTTACTATAAGCTCAAATCCAATTTTGTTTACCTCAATCATACATGATTTATATAGAATTTGGGGTTTCATCACTTTTGATCTCTTGTATCACACTTTTGCCTCACAGCTTAAGCATCAACCGGTTTTGGGATTGGTACGGTACGGTCACTGTTCAATACTGCAATCAAACCGGTTTAGCTTACCATATGGGGAGATGATTCAAGATTAGTAATCATTCCACAAGCCGCTGCTACAAAGGCAATGAAGTGGTGGGTCAAAGAATATATGTTAATGGGAGCAAAATAAAAAGGTAAAAAGATGGAATCAATGAAGTGGGGTGAAAAATCATGAAGGGTTTGCATGAAATTGAAATCATGGGTTCAATTTTAATTCGAATTTTGTGACAGGAACATGGCGTGGGTTCGAAATAGTTGCATGTGTTGATAAAGATGTGACATTGTTCCTCATATCTCAATCAATCATTCAAAGATTCTGATGTTTTTTTTCCCTTGTTTGAGTTGCATGAAATCTTTGGAGAATGATGTTTTTGCTGTTCTTTGCACATAAACAAATATCAAAAAATAAATAAACCCTGTAAAATATGTTATATATATATATATATATATATTTATGTAGGTATGTATTCCATACAAAATGGACATGTAGAAGTGCCCAAGATATTGCATTTTCCCATCAAACATGTTGATAATGGCCTTTGGACAAGGAACATTACCACATAGATTCACCTTTCCCTTTTTTTATTAATTGCCTTAAACCATGTGGGCCCCTTCTTGAGAAATTGTCGTCTAGAAACTAGTGTTGTCTAGGATTCTGCACCTCACCATCATCCACCGTTGATTTAGCCAATCGCTGATGTGGTTAACGACACGTGTACGGTGGATATTCAAGGATAATGAACATCATGATCCACCCGTCGAAAAACTTCACATTGTCGGCATCTGTCAAAGAATAAATAAATAATTTTTAAAAAGAATTTAATTAGAATAAAATCTCTGTGTTTCCAATGGCGAGCGTGCTGATAATTTAATCAATTAGGGTTAGAAAAAAAAGCAGCTTTATTAAAAATGGGAGTAATCATGAAGATCTTTGTTGTTCGTCGCTTTCTTATAGCCGTTGGATCGTCTTACTTTGTAATAAAAACCCGAACTTTGGTAGCATCTAACGGTGGAGATTTAACACAATCATAGCCGTTGAAATGTTTGACGAAAGAGCTTACAAAATGGTCAACACTCCCTCTGTCAGCTAAAAAGAACGAGCCTTTGCCTATAGCGAAACCCAAAGACTGCACCTTTCCCCTCTCTCTCTCGAGCAGTTTCCATGGCTGCGTTGAGATTTCTTCCCGTTTTCCTCTTCTTTCTGTCACTTTCCAAGGACTGTCCTAGAACTTTTGGTGGCGACACGTCATCATCGTCCCCTGGATCTTCGGATGTGAAGCTTCTGTTGGGAAAGATCAAGCCTTCACTACAAGGTAACAGTGAGAATCTACTGCTGTCTTCATGGAACTCATCAGTTCCTGTCTGTCAATGGAGAGGGGTAAAGTGGGTATTTTCAGATGGATCTCCGCTTCACTGCACGGACCTCTCTTCACCGCAATGGACCAACCTATCTCTCGTCAAGGACCCATCCCTTCACCTTCTCTCTCTGCAGCTCCCTTCTGCGAATCTCACCGGTTCACTTCCTCGGGAGATTGGTGAGTTCTCGATGCTTCAGAGTCTGTTCCTCAACATCAACTCCTTAACTGGGTCGATCCCTCTCGAGCTTGGTTACACTTCTTCTCTGTCTGATGTTGATTTGAGCGGTAATGCCCTGGCTGGGGTTTTGCCTCCATCGGTTTGGAACCTCTGTGATAAGCTTGGCTTCCTCAGCTTTCATGGTAATTCGCTGTCTGGGTCCTTGCCTGAACCCGCTTTGCCAGATTCTACTTGTAGTAATCTGCAAGTTCTTGATTTGGGTGGTAATAAGTTCACTGGTGGTTTCCCCGAGTTTATAACGAGATTCAAAGGTGTAAAAGAGCTCGATCTTTCAAGTAACATGTTCGAGGGTCCTGTTCCTGAGGATTTGGCTGGATTAAAACTTGAAAGGCTCAACCTTTCACACAACAACTTCAGTGGGGTGTTGCCGGATTTTGGTGGATCAAAGTTTGGTCCGGAAGCTTTCCAAGGGAACAGCCCTAGCCTTTGTGGGTTGCCCTTAAGACCCTGTCTTGGTTCCTCTAGTTTGAGCTCAGGTGCTATTGCTGGTCTCGTGATTGGTTCAATGACCGGGGCCGTGGTCCTGGCCTCGTTGTTAATCGGGTATATGCAGAACAAGAAGAGAAAGAATAGTATAGACAGTGAAGATGACTTGGAAGAAGGAGAGGAAGAAGAAAACGGCGATAAAGATAGTGGCGAAGGGAAGCTGATTGTGTTCCAAGGTGGTGAGCATCTGACACTCGAAGATGTCTTGAATGCAACAGGACAAGTGATGGAGAAGACAAGCTATGGCACTGTCTATAAGGCGAAGCTTAGCGATGGAGGGACAATTGCATTGAGGCTATTGAGAGAAGGTAGTTGCAAGGATAGGAGTTCTTGCCTGCCGGTGATAAAGCAACTGGGAAGGATTCGGCATGAGAATTTGGTTCCTTTGAGGGCTTTCTATCAGGGAAAGTATGTTAATGGGGGCAAAATAAAAAGGTAAATTTTACACGGTATCTTTCCATTAATCTTTATTCATAGCTTGTTATAGTTACATGAAGAGAAGGATTACTCCTCTGTTATGGGTTGGATCTCGAAGAGTAATGAACTCGTTTAACAAACTCAGCTTGTGATGTCAGATAGAATCATGAATTGTATAGAAGGATTGCTTCTCTGTTTATGGATCTTGAAGGGTATTGGGTTACATTCTTGAAAAGCTGAGAAATTTCTGTATTGATAGTTCTTTTGATAACATATAGACGAGCAATTCGATTTATGAGCTCGGCTGGTGATGTTAGATAGAATTCATGAATTGGATAGAAGGATTATTCCTCTGTTTATGGATCTTGAAGTTGAAGGGTAATAATGGGCTGCATTCTTGAAAAGCTTGGAAATTTCAGTGTTAGTTGTTTTGGTTTTGGCTGAATTGTTATTCTCAATCTGCAGAAAGTAGACCGGGAAAACCGGTGTTGAACTGGGCTCGGAGGCACAAGATTGCACTGGGAATAGCTCGAGGGCTCGCTTATCTTCATGTCGGGCAAGAAGTACCCGTCATACACGGGAACGTCAGGTCGAGAAATATTCTCGTGGATGACTTTTTCTTCGCCAGGATCACGGAGTTTGGTCTGGACAAGTTGATGGTACCATCTGTAGCTGATGACATAATCTCGCAGGCAAAATCCGATGGCTACAAAGCGCCCGAGCTCCACAAGATGAAGAAGTGCAACCCGAGAACCGACGTCTACGCATTCGGAATCCTTCTTCTGGAGATTCTGATGGGGAGAAAACCCGGGAAGAACGGGAGGAACAGCGAGTTTGTGGATCTGCCCGCTCTGGTTAAAGTAGCTGTCTTGGAGGAAACGACAATGGAGGTTTTTGACGTGGAGGTGCTGAAAGGGATAAGGAGTCCGATGGAAGAGGGTCTGGTTCAGGCATTGAAGCTTGCAATGGGATGCTGTGCTCCGGTCCCGACGGTCAGACCGGCCATGGATGAGGTCGTGAGACAGTTGGAAGAGAACAGGCCGAGGAATAGGTCGGCTTTGTATAGTCCTACAGAGACGAGGAGCGAGGCCGGGACTCCGTTTTGAGGGCTATGTTTTTTTTTTTTTTTTTTTTTTTGGAATTTCTGCATTTGAGAGTAGGTGAAGGTGTTAGAAGGTGGAACCATCTCTAGAGTAGGTGAAGGTGTTAGAAGGTGGAACCATCTCTCATTTGTATAACTCTATTTCATATTGCAAGTGTTTCAAACCATACATACGCCTAATCTTGAATCGAGAAAGTATCATTTGGCATGAGAATGTGTAGTTTTACATGTAACTGTAAGGAGGTGAAAGTGGATTAGTATCCGAGATTTTCGGGTTATCCGGTCTTAATCTCGATCTCATCTCTCTCAGATTTCAAGCTCATGACTCATGAGTATACTCAAGGTACTCGGTCGGCGAGGTAATACTCTATTTCCTCCTCTCCCCCTCTAGCTCGAGTATCCGCAGGTCACGGGTATTAGACAAGTGAGAAAACCCGTACTCGAACCTACCGCTCAGACTTTCGGCGGGGAAGGACCCGATCACTCTCGTACTCGCCAACAAACGGATTCCCGAATTTCAAGTACACACGAGATGGATAACCACAGAACCCACAGGGTCGAATAAAGCACTATACTACAGATTTTGCAGGTTGAACAACACTACGGCTCTACTGAGACCGAGGTTGATACATGGATACAAATGGAAGAAAGCCGAAATCCCCAAAAGAAACAAGAGAAAACATAAACCCTAGGAAGCAGGGTTACAAAGAAAAACGAGTTCTTTTTCTTCATTGTTTCCTCCCTCTATATGTGTTTGCGTATACGAATTTCACAACATTTGACTAACACCTCATACCGATTCTGCATTTGAGCGCACCCGAGCTGTAAGTAAGCGTACTTACAAGGGAAGACGACTTAGCTGCCAAGCTCGACGCCCTGGCGTAGTTAGCAGAAGCTCCTGCTCCCGATGACATGAAATATGCACCGTTAAGCATGAGATCTCCCTGTGATCTCCAGTTCCAGTTCTTCCACTCTCCTTGCCATGCACCTACCCTTTTCGTCACCTGCCGATAAAAATTTCCACACTGGTTCATTTCCGATCAAGATTCAAACCTGTTATCTACAACCGAGTCTCGCTCTTTCAGACAAGACTCGTGTTTCTTCATTTCTGCTAAAGGATTCTCTGTTTAAACCGACCTTGTGGATTAGATACGAGAATGTATGATTCAATCGCGTACCTCTTTAGCAAAACGATTTGCCGGGGCAAGGTATCGGTTGCCTTGGCTGTTGATAGTAGGGTTAGCACTTCCGCCAATAGCATACATTATCCAGTGCGTGTAATCGTTGTTCACCACATGAAAATACCCGTGTCTACACCTGAAATAACGTTAACATGAGAACGATTCAACTGATAAGAACCATCAGGAGAAAGCCAATAAGAAGAGGATGAAGCCTAGAAGACTGGGGAAATGCAGAAGAAAGTACCTTGGCATTCTCTGGATAAGACCCTCGCCGAAATGGTTATAGGCAATGGTCACTTGCATGATCTTGTCTCTCGCGTAGGAATCGCTGTGTCCCAACAACATCACCTGCATTTCCATCGATGGAATTCTTCACAACTTTTGAAGACATTCAATAAGAAAGCTGAAAACTTTTGCACTTGTATCTGCAGCTATGGAGTCTTTGGCTAAACCCATTTCTAATCGATCCCAGAGAAAGATAACAAAGATCAGAGAAACATTTCACTTCACCATCCCCGAAATTCTACATTGCTAAGAGAGCTTTCTTGAAATTCAACAAAGCAGGCGAATTAAGCAACGAATTCAGCATAATTTTACTAATTTGGTAAAATCAGTGTAGTAGAATCGAAGAAGAAACGGACCTCGTTATGGTGAGTGAAGTAATTATTGGAGATCGTAATCGCCGTAGAACCCATGATCGCATCAATCAACCCATCAGCACAATTAGACAGAGAATTGTGATCAATCCAAATATGACTCGACCCAAAAATCGAGATCCCGTCACCATCCGCCATAGTTCGCCAACCGTAATGCGTCGGCGAACTCCGAACCATAGCATTCCCCGTCTGCTTACAGTCATGGATATGAACTCCATGGATGATGATGTTGGTCACGAACTGGATCGTTATACAGGCGCCATTAGCGATGTGGACGTTCACTCCTCGGCCATCGATCGTCTTGAAGCTATTCATGATGAGCTCTTGCTTCAGGGTTATGACCATGTCGCGCTTGAATACGATCCAGAGAGGCCGGTCCTGGATCACGGCGTGACGGAGAGTCCCGGGTCGCGGGTTCACCGGGTCGTGATCCGACGGGTCGGTGACGACGTAGTAACGGCCGTCTCGGCCGCCGACGGCATTGCGGCCAAATCCTATCGCACAGTTCGCGAGACGTTTTCGCCGGAGATGCCATCTCTGGTCACATCGCCAACAGTCATCGATCGGATTTCCGGTGGCGCAGGAGAAGAACCCTAGCTTCCTCCGCTCCGTACTGTTTCGTATGCTCCTGCGTGAGAATAATTTCGCATAATTAATAGATTAACCACAATAAATTAAATAAATTGCGTAACGGCCTTGAACTTTGGAAATGTGCAGAGAAATCCCCAAAGCGAAACGAATGGAATTTTGGGGTTTTGAATCAATTTAATGAATTAGTTAAGTGAAGTTATTACATAACAAAAAAGATAACTTTCAGAATAACCTTTAAAAAGTTCTTTAAAATTGTGATTGAATCCTAGTTAAACAAAAAGTAGAACCTAAATTAAAACATTATTCAAATAAAAGAGCAAAATTGGTTTTTCTAAATTGAAAAGAAATACTTTAAAGATTTTAAAAATTCTGTTATTTTATTAATTTCGCGTTAAGAAAATATTATCAAATTTTCCGTTAATTAATTAGGTAGATAAAATCTAAAATCTAAGGATTGACCAGAATCTTGGGAATTATTATTGTTATTATTATTATTAGGCTGATCGTTTCGATTTGGTTCTTCGGAACCGGACCAAACCGAACCGAAAAAACGGTACTTTTTCTGACTCGAAACCGTTCTTAATTCCTTAACGGTACCATTTTTAGAGAACCGAATTTTTTCGGAATTGAATTGAACCGAACCGAACTTTAAAAATCCCGAAAAACCGAATATTTTTAAAGGAAATCTATCTTTTTTTAATAAAACCCGGAACCGATACCGAAACCGAACCGAACCGAATACAATATAAAAACCGATTGGTACTTATTTTGTAAAACCGAAAGAACCAAACCGATCAATTTCTGTCCCGAACCCGAACCGTTTTCCGAAACGCTCATCTCTAATTATTATTATTATTATTATTATTATTATTATTATATGAATCACATGATGAGACAAAAACGAAGAAAGCATTGAATTGTTTTTTGTTATGTGGGAGGTGGACCATGTGATCATAAATGTGACAAACAAGGAACTATATCTCATGTGATACGGTACATACGGAAAGCTTCGGATCCTTCGATTTCTCATGACCAATCTATATATTATATAAAATCGGTACATGGGACTTTTATGTTTTGGCCTCACAAATATACATGATCAAGCTACATTATTCTCTAGATATATTATTTACTCAATTTTTATTATTTTTCTATTTTCGGATTATATTAACCTAAGATTAAAAAATTATATCCACTTGGGTTTTAAACAAAATTATATATTGTTCGGTTGGTTGGATTTTCTATATCGGAATCCGAGCCCTTAGTCTTATTCCATACTACAATCGAATAAAAATCTCGGATCTACATCTACATGGACGACCGACCACTCATGTGATCAAAATTTATGGATGCATACATAAATAAATAAAATGATCAAAATGCATCTATATCGCTAAAAAAAATTAATTGTAGCACATTCATCTATCAACTAAATGCATATGTTTTTTTGTTTTTTGATAATCTGAAATTCATCGGGCATTTGGTTTAATTAAAATTGTCAAAAGATCAAAAAATTATGGATGAATGTCCTTCATATTTTGATTTGAACCCGATATAAAAATATACTTTATATACACTCAAATTTGGGTAACTAAATGTAGAGTTAATCTATATGTATATTTCTTGTCATCGTTATAGTGATATTTATACAGAATTTTATCTATATGTATTGCATAATTTTTTTATATGGTATATTACATACTAATAATTATAAAAAATGTGAAATGTTTATATTCCTATTTCGATATGTAAAAGTCGACTCCTATACTACATAGAGGTATATATATTTATATATACATTAAATACAAATGAGAAGATGTGAATGTCGGTGGATCTTGAGAAGAAATAGTGAGTAATAAATGGGGGATCACAGAAGAGGGAAAAAAAAAAACTTCGGATCCAAACAGAGGATTTTACCATATTTATTTGGCTGTAAAATTTAAATATAAGATCGTATTCTTTATATATATATATATATATATATATATATATATATATAATGAGTCAAACACTCATCCATAAATCATAGAAAGCGTCAATACATCAAATGTATCCAAGTAAAGCTCGTAAACAGTACATCATAGAACACTAAACCAACAGTGTCAACAGTTCATTACCATGGTGTCGGATCGATTCTCCATAAAGGATCTGGGCGAGTTCTCATTTTTCCTAGGCGTTGAAGTGTCCCGCTCATCCGAAGGCTTGTATTTGACTCAACACAGGTACATATTGGATCTCCTCAAACGCATTAATATGGGCAATGCAAAACTATTACAACCCCGATGTCATCGACTAATCAGAATCTCCTTTGGATGACCCTACAGAGTTTCGGAACGTTGTTGGAAGTCTTCAATACTTGAACTTCACCCATCTAGACATTGCTTATACGGTGAATAAATTATCTCAATTTATGCACCGTCCGACAACCGAACATTGGCAAGTGGTGAAACGAGTGTTAAGATATCTTGTTGGCTCTATCTCTCTCGGTGTCTTCATGTCATCGAAGAACACCGAAACTCTTCATGCTTTTTCCGATGCCGATTGGGGTGACAATCGCTCACGTTTATTTCGGACGCCACCCGACCTCTTGGTCTTCGAAGAAGCAAAGAATTGTGGCTCGCTCCTCTATTGAGTCGGAATACAAGTCTGTTGCTTCGATGGCGTCAGAAATAAAATGGATGTCCTCTTTGCTTACAGAACTTGGTGTCTCCTCATCATCGTCACCCGTCATATATTGTAACAATGTAGGTGTCACATACTTATGCGCTATTCTGGTGTTCCACTCCCGCATGAAGCACGTGGCCATTGATTATCATTTTATCCAGAGTCTCGTCCAAGATGGTCTTCTACCGGTGATACAAACAATTCCACAGTGTACCAGATAGTCAGCGAACTCTTGGCTCATATATTCACCACTGCGATCCGATCGCAATGCCTTAATAGTCTTGCCAAGCTGGTTTTGTACTTTGTTTCTTAAAGTCTTGAACATTTCAAGCATTTCAGACTTATGTCTCATCAAATACACAACCAAATCTACTGAAATCATAAGTAAATGTGACGAAATACAAATAACCTCCTCTAGCGAGTAAGCTCATGGGCCCACATACATTGCTATGTATTAGGTCCAATAACTCCAACGTCCGTTCTCCTTTTCCACTAAAAGGAGACTTTACCATTTTACCCATCAGACAAGATTCGCATGCTTCAATCCATTCATAATTGAAAGAATCCAGAAATCCTTCGGAGATGAGTTTCTGTATGTGTTTCTCGTTGATGTGGCCTAAACGGCAATGCCAGAGATAGGTCGGGTTTAAGTTGTTCGACTTAAACCTCTTCGCATTTACGTTATACACGGACATGGAATCGGAAGGTTGATCGTTCAAGACATACAATCCATTCACAAGGTAACCATTACCATAATAGATATTGCCTTTGAACATCATTAGGTTCTTATTTTCAATAACAAACCGAAAACTATCCAAAGCCAAACAGGAAATAGAAAAAATGTTTCTGCTTATAGCAGGTACAAAGTAACAATTACTTAGTTCTATAACCAGTCCAGAAGGTAAAGCTAAATCATAGACGCCGACAGCCAATGCAACAACCTTTGCTCCATTCCCGACACGTAGATCCACTTCACCTCGAGCCAACGTCCTACTTCTTCTCAGACCCTGCACATTTCCACAAATGTGATAGGCACATCAGGTATCCAATACCCAGGATGAAGAAGTGAATACGTTAGCTTCAATAACGTAAATACCTGAAGTAGAAGCTTCAACAAGCTTCTTCTTCTTCAGATCTTCCAAGAAGAGTTTACAATTTCTTTTCCAATGACCAATATATTACGTGTGAATGCTATATAAATTAGCTAAGAGTATAAGATTGAAGAATGATGTAAATCGCCTGATGTAATTATATTTTAAAAAAATGATAATATTCTATGCATAAGAAATATTTTTCATATAACTATATAATCACACTATATATATCACAGACAGATCATGATTCAATAAATTTTATATTCCTCGAATATTAAATGTGAATGCTATAACTTAATGAGTTAGCCAAGAGTATAATATATAAGATTGAAGAATGATGCAAAACGCCTAACATAGCCAATTGATGTAATCATAATTTATATATAAAAAAGATAATATTATAAGTAAATGAAATATTTTTAAAGTAAATATAATATATATATATATATATATATAAACTTACATATCGACCATGGATGCTATTTCTTCAGGGTTTTTAACGGCGTGTTCATGCCATGAGTCTTCCGATGACCTGAGAAAACCATATCAAACGAAAACGACACCGTTTTCCATCAGATCCCCCAATGTTCTGAGGATCAAATATTTAACGGCTGAGATTTCAATCTTCTTCGGGTATGTAAAAACTCACGTATCCGCCATTGATGAGTTTCTGGAGCTCTGCGGTTTCAGAGATTCCTCTGTTCGTCGAACCCTGTGGAAATTAAATGCAGGGACGAACTTTAACACATTCTTACTTCTTCTGAATCTTCGTATTGATTCGAAACGAAAACCTAATCGTATAAAATATGAACTCACGTTGACGCATTTACGCAGAGAAAATAAGCAGAAAAACAGAGGTATAGAACAACGTTTTGGGATCCGCCATTGTTGCTCCGCTGAAGCTTTCTCTCTCCTCTGTGCAATAAGGAGGAGGAAGAAGAAGAAGAAGAAGGGAGAGATGAGTCTTGGAGGAGGAGCAAAGAGAAGAAGCCCGGTTATATAGGCAGAACGAACGTGGGGTGTGAAGGAACAGCATACTCCGTTAACTGTACAGAACGACGCCGTTATATTCCGTTAACTATTCATCCGTTATGGATAACGGCGTCTTCTACCTGCCGTCTTTCAATTGCTTTTTTCTCAAACGATCCTTCCGTACAAGGAAATAACATATTTGTTTTATTTTATGACGCTCTTATTCAATACTCGTAGTCTCGTAGACATAATATTAGTTACAGAAACCCAAAAATTTAAATTACTGTATAAACTCAACTCTTTAACGCATTTGATTCTCATCCGAAATCTTTGAATAGTTACAATAGTTAAATAAAATTTTAATTTTTATAAATTGAAAAATGTATTTTGTGATTTTTTGGTTTGGAGTCCTTGGATCAAAAGAAATAGTATATTTTTAGATATATTAATTTTAAATCACGGTGATTATTGGATGCTCGTGATTGCATGGCGACCACTTATAAGTTCCATGCACGTATGTTTCGTTTTGGCTTAAATCATTCGTCCATACGTTGACTTGAAATAATTCCGTGCATGATTTATTATGTTCAATGTAATGTTACATACAAAACTATTATATCATTATATTATATCTATGTTTAAAATACGACGTGAGATGCCATGTTATAGTAGGATGGATATTTATAGTTAGGCATATAAAACCGAAAAGATATTTTATTTTTCTATATATAAATTGAAACCGAACTTGTAAAATCGACTGATATATAATTGTTCAAATTTGAAAGAAAAAAAAAACGAAGCTAAAACCCCGTATGTGCATGCATCCCTAAGTACTATTTTGAACAAGCAAGTACCTTGGAGGTGAAATGTTTTGTGATTAAATTTGGAATTGATATTCAGAATATCGTTATAAAAAAAATGGAGTTGAAATATTACCTAATAAATTTTGAACTTTAAGGTTTCAATGGCTTTCGGGTCAGTTCCAGTTTGCCAAATTTTGACAGTAACAAGTGGTTTTGCATTCATACTTCCTCACATGAGTCTCGCCTTGATTTGCATGATATTAATATCCATAATAATTTTTAGCAATTTCCTTATAACTACAACAAAATAATATATAGCTTTATATCTTTTTTTTTTAAAAAAATTATCTTATTTAGTTCATTAAAAAAAACGTGCCTCAGATATCCCTGTTTATATGGAATTGCGTATATAATGTTTTCTTGGTTGATATCTCAAGGGAATCTAACTTCGTTGCGTAAAACCAAAGGTCCGGTGAACTTCTGATTCTAAAAAAAAAGCTTCATTGCGTAAAACTAGGGGCTGTAGTTTTTATTCTTTTGGCTATGTGAAATAAATCAAATTATTATTATTATTATTATTATTATTATTATTATTATTATTATTATTATTATTATTATTATTATTATTATTATTATTATTATTATTATTATTATTATTATATCTAAATCAAAATGATTTATACTATTATTTGTTAATAAAAAGTCCATAAAAATTGAAAGAAATATAAACCCGATATAGAAAGAAATAAAAACGAAATTCTATAGTTTTAAAAAACGAAGCTGGTTAAAAACACCCCAAATCTAAACCGATTTGTGAATATGTTTTCCTCATATTAAATTCCACGGATTTACAAGTTCACAATACATACATACATACATACATACATACATACATACATACATACATACATACATACATACATACATACATACATACATACATACATACATACATACATACATACATACATACATACATACATACATACATACATACATACATACATACATACATACATACATACATATATATATATATATATATATATATATGGAATGAAGGAAATTCTTTTTTTTTTAATTAAAAATATAAAAATAAAAAAGAGAAATTAGAATAGTGGGAACTTATAGGAAGGAATTAGTGGGAGCATGTTTTCGGTATTGACTTTGCTACTGAAGACAAATCACCGCTAATCAAGGTCGCTTAGCTAAACTTGTTTAATAATATACTGTTTTTCTTCGTTACGATCATATCCCAAATCATCATATTACATGGAGATCGGTCCAATTAGAAATCTCCAATCAAATTCTGTATGCATACAAATTAATGTCCCGGTTAAGATTATCTTCCGTTTAATTTTGTTTGGTTTTGAAAATTGTAACTTTTCATTTATTATAATTTTTATATTTTGGCCTAGTTTTAGAGATTCTATTCGGGTTTATTTTACGTTGGTTTCATTTCGAAACGATTTTCTTTTCAGTTATATTAATATTCGTTTTAAATTCGATCAATACATTTTTAAAAGGATAAAATCTATAAAAATTCTAAAATTTGTAAAATGGTGGAAAACTATTTTTTAAATTTTTCGCTTAACAAATTCTAAAATTTGAAAAATGTATCATTATAATTCCTAAACTTATTTATATATTAATATCGCTAAAATTTCTTATGTCACCAATTAATAAGTTTTGAGAATTATAATAATACATTTTATAAATTTGGAAAATTATAATGACGTATTTTTCAAGTTTGATAACAATTTTGTTAAGCCATTTTACAAATTAATTTTTTTTTATGAATTTTACATTTTTTTAAAATCGTATTTAATCGGTTTCGGTATATGTACTATCCGGAACGATTTTATGTATTTAAACCGATTTTACGAGATAATCGATTGACTATTAAAATCACTTTTTTGATGTATGTATTTGGTTGGAAATTGAAAAAGATCATAAGGTAAGTCCATTTAATTTATTCATTATTTTATTATAAAGTCAAAATCAATTCAAATAATACGAATATGGTCGTTGCAAATGCAAAGTGCTCATGCAGTTAGTGGCAATCTGACACAACTCCCAACGTTCAGTCAAACATCTTCCAAAGTTTCTTTTATATTTTTATTTTTCTAAAAATATTTGGTACGAAAAATTATTTTGTAAGTAGAATAATTTGTATCCGATTACTCGTCACTATTCTTTCTTTCCTATGTCAATGACTATATTAAATTTATTTTACAAATATATTGTAAAGAATTTATACGGACCATTTTTGTACAATCGTATTACAGTTACATTTAAATTTAACCATTATTATTCGATTGATTTCGACTCATAAAACGATCGATCGACATCAACCTTTTTTTTAAATCTAAATTCCAAAAAATATTTGTTTTATCACACAACAACCTATCATAGATGACTATCAAGCTTATGGTAAATTGTTGACTAATGCATTGTGATGAACTTTCAAAATCTGGATACTCATAGATTCGAGATTTCCATCTATTTAATTACGATTAAAATTAGCAATTTTCGATCGGTTAAATAAATTAAATCTATTAAATCATATTACTACCTATCTCGATCGAATAAAAAAGCGAATTTATATAAATTTTATAAACAAATTTATCAATAATATGAACCGAATTCAATTTACGAAATCCAATAGATATATTTTTTTAAATTTAAAAAACCGGAGTCCAAACCAAAACCTAATGGGAACGCCAAATACTCATATGATTATAACTATTAATTATAAACATATAAAATGATAATAAAGAAAAAGGACAACAGTGCCTATGGTATCGACGTACGATGTAATAATCAGACATAAAGGTTACAAACAAAACGAAAAAAAAAAGATAACGAGGCATCTTTCGAGAAGTGTACATATTATATTGTACGCAAAAAAAAAAATCTAAAATAAAATTCAATACGGCATATTATTAACGCGATAATTTCGGGCCACCAACGTGAGTACGCGTCTCCATAACGCCGTCTGTCCATAATTTTATTATATGAAAAAAAAACCCATGCATGCATTTCATATTCACACGAGAAATTTAAAATACTAAAAAAAATCACCTCTTATTTAAATACATTCATTTATACTTGTCGACTTCCACCATCATTTAGGGAAATTAAAGGATATTAATTAAACAAAAATCGTATTTCCGGTTCTTATACTATACCAAAATAATCGGAGAATAACCCTTGGTTTGTGACCATCAAAAATGAAATTATATACACACATACAAATTGTTTTTTTAAATAAAAAAATGTTTATAATTTATGAGGATTTATAATCTAATAAGGAATCCTAACCCTGTTCTCGTTTATAATCATAATTTGCTTACAAGACTGCTAATTGTTTGTATCCAACCATCGACGATTCTTTTGTAATAAGGCCCGAGTCGGGCCCAGTTTCATACCGGTTCGAATTATTGACGGCGAGACTTACGCCACGTGTCACGATATCACGGCGCTCTCACGAGCCGGCTATCTATGGCGGTTGTAGCAGAATATTATCTTTTTTATTTAATATTTTATTTTATTTTTAAAATCGGAACAAGCGTTCTCGTGATATCATATATAAGCGAATCATCGGTTCTCTTTCATCTCACACTTCCCAATTCCTGAATCTCGTCATATTCATCACGCAATCTCTCCGAAAGAGAGAAAATTGTTGTCAACGAAAATCGAATCCTTGGAGAAGAAATATTCCTAATTCCCTATCTGTAATTCCTCTCCTTTCGTTCGATTTTGTCGATCCTTGTTTACGCCGTCTTGCTTCTCTTTTTGGATTTGTTCGTCTCGTTTTGATCGGAATCTAGTCCTGATTGATCAATTGACTGATTTTGATTGATACGGTTCTTTTCTTTGGTATAGTCGTGGTTGATTGCCCTTGGGGCTGCGAATTCGTGAGGGGATTCAGATTTTGGGTCTGGCTTTGGGTTTAGGTCTGAATTGGGATAGGGGAATTTCGAATTTGGATGAGAATCATCACGGAGATTGCTTGATGTTTTACTGTGTAGAAGAAGTATTCCATCTTGGTAGATAAAATTTCCCGATCCTACATCTAGGTATTCCTGATTAGCCTCCCAGGTGGAGAAGTTTTTGTTATGGCCATTGATTTGAGTTCTCTGTTTCGATTCTTTTGTGAATAAGTTTGTTTTACTTCATGTCTTTCATGTTGACAAAGTGATCTGTTATCAAATCTAGAGGAGTGTGGTTGAGGGTCTTAGTTATTCGATTTGCTTGTGTTCTTAAGAAACTGCTTAAGAATTGGCATGCAAGAGAGTTTTGAATGTTATATAAGATATACTGTGTGGACATGTTTATGCTCCTGCTTTGTTTTCTCGCATTCTCGTTGCTCATCTTGGTTGAATTGATGTTTGTTCGTGATTGCTATATGTCGATATTTTTCGTGAATTTGACCGGAAATTCTCTCTGGGTTGTAAATGCAGGTTTTAGGGCATTTGGGCTGTAAGGAAAATAGTTACTTTAGTTGTACACGCAGAATTTGGTTTCCTTCCGAGTTTCCCAAAGGATTATTTGTTCGATAGTGTTTGCTTCGTTGGTGGTTGGATTTGATCAGCATTTTTAACAAGTGATCTTCGTCGTAAAAGTAAATTAAAGTCTCGCTTTCAAATAGTAAGAAAGTAGATTTCCAACAGGCTGCCATTAGAGTTGCTCTCAACTGGTAAGTTTTTGTTCAGCCATATCTCTCCCTTTCTAAAGTTTAGTCATTTATGAATCTAGTTTGGATGTGGACTGACTATTCCTGCTTGCTAAATTGCTATTCTATGATCAAACACTATCTTGATATAAGATACCTTGTCTTTTGCGTAAAAGCAGTTATCTGCCCGGAGATTTTAAGCTACTTCTCGTTTACAAATTTCTCTTTTCAAATGTGACATAATATTCTAAACTCGCCAAGTGTTCTAACTCGCTCAATGTGTGAGTAGCTTACACAGTGCATACAAGATGGCTGGTGTAAAGCGAAAATTATGTAGCGAGTCAGATGATCATGCTCTTCTTCACAAAGAACTGGATGAGGTTTCATGTCCTATTTGCATGGATCACCCACATAATGCTGTTCTACTGCTATGCAGCTCATATGACAAAGGTTGCAGGTCTTACATCTGTGATACAAGTTATCGACATTCAAATTGTCTGGATCGGTTTAAGAAATTGCAGTCTGAATCTACAAACACTTCCACTGATACCCCTGAAGTGAACTTAGCTTTAAGATCAAATCTCAATTGGTCACAGCCTGAGGGCGATACAGCCCGAACAGTTAGTTTTAACCGCTTGACTAGGAACCTAGATTCTGAAGGTATATATGAGCTTGGGGACTCTACATCTTTGAGGAGAGTTGAACAGGAACAGTTGGAGGAACAGAACCAGAGAATGAATTTGAAATGCCCGCACTGCCGTGGTAATGTTTCAGGATGGAAGGTTGTGGAAAAGGTAAGAAATTATCTCAACTCGAAGACTCGAAGCTGCTCCCGGGAATCCTGCTCTTTTACCGGAAATTACCTTGAGCTACGCCGACATGCCAGAAGGGTTCACCCAAAAACCCGGCCTTCAGACATTGATCCATCGAGGGAGAGAGAATGGCAATACCTCGAGAACCAAAGAGAGTATGGAGATATAGTCAGTGCCATTCGTTCCACCATGCCCGGGGCTGTTGTTGTTGGAGATTACGTCATAGAAAACGGAGATAGGTTCTCCAGAGAAAGGGAAGACGAGAACTCAGGCGATCTCAATACACCTTGGAGGACCACTTTGTTCCTATTTCAGATGATCGGGTCGCTTGACCACGGAGGCAGCGGCTCAAGGACCAACAGACCACGGGCATGGAGAAATCGTCGACGTGCTTCAGAAAGGCGATACCTTTGGGGGGAAAACGTGCAGAGTCAGAGTCTACAAGAGGTGCATGGCAATGACATGTCCCCTGTCCCAAGAAGGCGTCGAAGGTTGTTGGCTCGTTCAAGGTCAGGCAATGGTCGCCCCCAATGATCGGATCAGATCACTTTCGACTGGTAAAGTCCCGACCTTTTCTCGCGTAAGAACCATCGGGTCTTTTTTGGTGGCATCATCCATCGTTCACTGACTGTGTTTTCTTGCCAGGCGAAAACGGTGATTCTTTCTCGCAAGGAATCATCTTTCCATCAGAAAACATCGCCAAGATAAAAAGGGGATGCTTCTTTCTCTCGTAAGAAGCGCTTGAAAACCTCTCTTCCTATCTCTGATCGAAGTCGAACTCGTCGGCTTTATTGAAGATTTACAGTAGTTGTGCATGTGTTATATTATATGTTTGTTGTGTCTGGCTTGTAAACTATATAATATATCCAATGCCTTTGTTTCAAGTGATTATTCACACAGTATTCTTCAATGAAAAACATTAAAAAAAAAGGACCGGATTTTGTGGAACGTGTATGGCAATTTTTGGGTTCTGTTTATTTAAAAATAAGAGAGAGAGAAAATGATTAAAAAATTAAATTGCATTCTATCTATACCTCTTAGGGTTGGGCACAAATACCTGAAAATCGGGTATCCGTCGGATATCCGTCTCACAAATATCTAATTTTAGGGTACTCGTAATTTTTAAATCCAAATCCAAATCTCGATTTTTCAATATTCGTGAATCCAAATCCAAATTCGGATAATAAAATTAATATCATATTTTTTAATATTAATTCAAAAAATTAAATTTATTATTATTTATCTCTTATGCTCTCTTTTGTCTCATATATTTTATCATAATTAATCAATTTTTATAAATATATCTTCATTTTTTGAAAATTTTATATATGGATTTTGTTGTTTTTCTGAAATAAATCCGGATCCGGATATCCGCGAATACTCGACCATTATTCCGGATACCCGTACCCCGAATACTCGTAAATACCAAATCCCGAATACATAGTTAAATACCCGAGCCTTCCAGATCCAAATCCAAATCTCTCGATTTTCTCGGATATCCGACTCGTACCCACGCATAAAATCTACATCATCATGTAAGGGCTGAGATTATGCCACGTCATCAAGGAACGAAAACATGAGGGCGTGAGACTTGCACGTTAACATCCCCGCAAAGTTCGGTGACAGTATTTAATCGACAGGGAAAGGCCAATGGCCTCCATACACACAGTACAAAAAAATTCATAAAAACAAAAATAAATTTTTTTCATGTTTTTAATATCGTGATGGAAATTTGGATAAATAGTACGTATTTTTCTTAAAAAATTGGTATTACATATATATACATATATTCTAATAATAATAATGATAATAATGATATGTAATCCTTTACCAAAAAAGACAGCGATATGTCACTAATTTAATAAGAAATATTTCAAACATGAAACAGATTGAAAACTATTAAAAAATATTTTTTTTAATAAAACCGAATTCCAATCGAATCCCAATAAAAATAATCGAAAACTTTAAAAACATACATGGATATATTTTTTTTTTTAATTTGAATATGAAAATAAAATGGAACTAAATCTAAATACAGAAGACCCACCACCAATGATAAAAACTAATAGGATCGGTTTTGATGGCAAAAGGAATAAACGTTCCATTTCACACAATTGTCTGTTTTTTATTTATTGATTATAAGTATTAAACGACGTTCAACTGTGAATAATACAATTATCTGCTTTTTAAAATTATATAAAAAACGTTTTTTTATTCATAATATCTTATTAGAATTTTAATTGAATGCCAATGAAGTAGAAGAATTCGCTATATGAGAAAATATAGAAATATTAATGACTCGAAGGAGACCATGTGATCCGGGCATGTTCCTATTAACACTTCGCAGGAAAAAAAAAATTCTACATGCCCACATGATTAAACACAGACATGTTTGTCCATTTCTTGAATGGACAATTACTTACACGTCTCACTAAAATAAATATACAGTAGGTAATGCGAAAAAAAAAAAGAAAAATTTACAATTAAATATATAAATATAGTATTTTTTGCCGTTTACCTTTTTATCGTATGATATTTGGTTACAAAATCTATATTTTATTTCGAACGATCTAGAAAGATCTAATGGAACATTTCACTTGGGGGACCGCTAGTACTCTGCGCTTAAAGACGATTTGCAAGTGTATGGTTGCGAGGAAATGGCACAAAAGCTTAAACGAGACACGTAGCATCGTCCACGGTCTTCGTATCGTACGTTTTCAGATTATATATATATTTCGAAATTATGAAAAATAATTAGAGATTCGTATATATGTATATAAACACATGCACTTGCATATATATTCAGTCGAAGAAACAAGCTGCAAACTCTAATTGGTTCTTTTTTTGTTTCAGTGTCTTGTCTCCATCTTCGCATCCGAAGACTTTCGTATGTCTGCATGAGAATCTGTTCGAAACAGTGCAGACAGATCTCCTAAGACTCTCTCTTTTGACACGATCGATATATATATATATATATATACACACATACATATATATAGTATTATATATTAGGATCATTATACAAGCCCAATAATATAATATTATATCCAAAAGGTCTCAAACGCCGAACATGCAGGTTAGCCTTCTACACATCTACATGCCCACACACATTCACGAGTGTGTATATGTGTGTACGTGTGTATATATATAAGTATAATATATTGGTTACATGTGCACCCATTTGTGGATTTGATGTACAGATCCTTCAATGGCTCTTCAAGTTGGCAAAAGAGGGAAGCAGATCAGAAGCCTGTTCGACCATACACAATGATTCAACTCTAATAACCACAAGTAAGCAATCAATCACATTAATTAATGTCTTATAAATTCTTTGAAACAACATCCGATTACACACCAAGAAAAATGTAAACCCTTTTTTGTTATCCGCTTTCGCAGATCCAAGAACGCATCCGAAGGATATAACTCGGACAGAAACCTCGAGAGAATCCAAACATGGACAAAGGAAGGGCCTTAGACGAGGAGTATGGGGGTTCTGTAAAAGAGATGCGGTGGACGAGGCATGCTTCTACGGCACTCTGAGTTTACGAAGACTGAGGCTAAACTGCCCGGAGAGGAGAGGAAGAAGGTGGGAAGAGCTGTTTCGTTCGATCTCAAAGGCGAAACAACGAACAGAAGAAGGAGTTGTCTCAAGGAGATTGGATTCGGACACGATCAGAATCTTATTGCCGGTGACAGAAGCAACAGACCTGAATCTTGCGGGGAATCTTGAAAACGGAACTCGAGATAGAAGGAAGAAGGAAGAGACGTCGACTAAAGCGAAATCCGCCGTTTCTAGGATGAAAGAGCTCGTCAGATGGGCTGCAGCCACCAAAACGGACAAGGCGGTCGAATTCATCTACCCTAAGGTAAGCATACATACATACATACATACATACATACATACATACATACATACATACATACATACATACATACATACATACATACATACATACATACATACATACATACATACATACATACATACATACATACATACATACATACATACATACATACATACATACATACATACATACATACATACATACATACGTATACACTCATGGTTTCTATATACAGATAGAGACTATATATATTGGAACAAGACTTATTCACTGTTATAAATTCGAACCCCAAATACAGATCTATGCATGTGAATGACTGCATTAACATTCCACAAAAAAAAAAATTGAGTAAAGAAAGTTCTCGTCTTCTTTTTGGGAGGGGGAGGGGGGACCAAAGAAAACTTTCAGTGTTTTTTTTCTTCTTGATTTTTTTTTTGGTCAAATTTAGCAGTCTTGAGTTTTAGATGAGTTTTTAATTAAATTTTAGATAATACATTAAACGTTAGGTGAGTTTTACGATGTGAAATTTAGGTAATGCGATTTAATGATTTATTGAATTTCGACACGTAAATGTTCTATAAGCATATGAAGAGGAAAAAAAAACGGAACTACTCCCTCCACTTCTCCTTGTGAAATTATATTCTCATTAATATTCTGTTGAAATTGTATATTATTAATCAAGTATAAAATCAGAAATTTTCTTAAAAAATTTACCTAAAAAATCTAAAAGAACATGTATTAAATAACAAAAAAAAAATTCTTTAAAATGGCATCTATTTAAAAACGGATGAAATATTTGCGAACCTTTTAATCACGGATACGTATTCATATAATTACGATTCTATTTATATATATATATATATAAATATGAAGACATTAACAATAGGAAGAGATGAATGTATTTTTGGGCAGATGAAGGAGGAGTCGAGAGGGAGACAGATGAAAGACGAATATGAGATAATGAGTTTGAGAATGAAGAGAGAGAGTTACGCTGCCGTGGGCTCCACACAACAATACCATTTCGGCTCCTATACCTATACGAGAGGAAATTGGATCACCACCGATTCTGAATGTAAGTGTCTGTCATCATAAGCACACACTGTTAGGGAAAAAAAATATGAAAAAATAGCTTTGGAATAAAAGAAAAGGAAGTACACTAACACACACGGATGAATACGAAATTGTGAAAAGTCTCGAGGCACGGGTTAGACGCATTACAAAGAGTATATTTACCCCTACACAAAATTGTTTCGAGTTATGGTAAAGTACTCTCGGAATACAACGAGACTTGTGTTTTTTCCTCGAGAAGCAAACTCGCAAAAAACCCTTACTCTTACTCTTTTCTTTTTTAGATGGATAAAAGATTGCTTGATGTTTCAAACTCACCAAATGATGGGTTTATATAGGTATATCATTTTAAGTTACTTCATTAAATCAAACAAGTTACATAGTAATTGAATGACATGATAAAGAAAAGAAGTTTCATTCAATTAAAAACTATTGTTAATTAATTGAAGGTAACTTAATCCTATTGAATTTGCAATCTATTTTCAATATATATATATGAAAACGAATTAAAATTTTATATAAATCAATTCGCCAAAAAACCATTTTTCAGGTTCTTCATGTTAATTTTGTTATAATCCATTGTGTTTTTTTTTGTTGGGCAGTTGTGGTGTTGGAGTTATGAATGGGGGCCGTCTAAGAAGAGGACAATTTGTTGGATTTGCGATCATTTTTCTCAAAATATAAATATGAAAAATTATCATCTTATTGAAATTTAGATATAATAATCTCGAATTTTTCATAACGCCCATTAATGATATCCCTTGCTTTATAAACATGTTACTTATATCTTCAACATTTGGACAAGTATATGCAAAAAAAAATATATATAACCTTAACTTTAAAAAATTAATAATTGAATAGAGAAGAAGGATGATGGTATAAAAAAAATTTAAAATTAAAACTGCTTTTTTAGTTTGATCTAATTTTTTATATGTTTATTTTAAAAATAATTCTTCACATTTAATATTTCAAATTTTCCATTGTTCTAACTTCTAATACTTAACTGGAGTTATACTATTTTTTTTAAAAGAATTATACCAATCAAATTTTAAAACACATTAATATAAATATGATTAAATATTATTTTATTATATCCACACCTACAAAATCTGCTATGCCCTGAGAAAACAGAAACAGAGAGCCAAAAAAAAAACACACGAAGAACACGAACAGAGAGCAACAATGTCGGATCACAATCCTCAATCTCCGAACTTTAATTCCTTAAGCATCGATCTCACCGAATCCATCTTTTCCCTCCTCCCAATCCCTTCCCTTGTCCGCTCCTCCGCCGTCTGCAAGCTCTGGCGCTCCGTCATCACCTCCCTTCCTCCGCCGCAACCGTCGCCGTCGCCGTCTTCGCCTTGGCTTTTCCTCTTCGGCATCCACAACACCTCCGCCTTCCACAACCAGTCCTTCGCCTTCGACCCTCTTTCCGACACCTGGCTCCGCCTTCCCGCCGCCGCCTCCTTTCCTTCTCTCCACATTGTCGGCTCCGACAGGTTCCTCTTCTCCACCGCTCCGAGATTCTCCTTCTCCCCGATTCTGAAGCCTCGGTGGAGATTCTGTTCTCCGGTGCGATTTCCTCGGATTAGCCCTCTTTTGGGGGTTTTCTCCGGCAAGAAGGGTTCGTTAAAGTTCGTTCTCGTCGGCGGTTCTGGATTCATCGGTGGATTGGTCGACATCGAGGATCGTCAAGCCGTCGAGATCTACGATCCTGTTCTCGATGCGTGGGAGCTGTGTCCGCCACTTCCCGCCGATTTCAGATCAGGTTACGCTTATCAAACCCTATCTTCGGCTCTGTTCGGGGGAAGATTCTACGTTTTTGGAATCTATTCATGCTTTATCACCTCCTTCTGCTTGGATTCATACACATGGAGCGATGTTCAAACTCTGAGACCACCCGGGCTTCTCTTTGGTTTCCTGAATTCGTGTAACAACATGCTTGTTCTTGGTGGAATGTGTCTCTCGACTCGTGGGTATTCGTTTAATCTGTGGAAAATCGATGAGACATTGATGGAATTCAGCGAAATCGCCATCATGCCTGAGGGTTTGTTGTCTGGATTGGTGGATAATGAGGATGAGGACAGTACCAAATTTGCGAGCTTGAAATGCATTGGATCAGGGAATCTGATTTACGTGTTCAACGAAGATTATCACAAGAAGTACCCAGCTTGTATATGCGAGATCATCAATGGAGAGAGAGGGATTTGCAGATGGAGGAGAGTGCCTCAATTGCCTTCACCAGTCAACAAGTTTCATAAAGTTGTGAGCTTTTGCTCGAGTGTATCGATCAGTGACGTCTTCCAGCCCGATGAGCCGTAACATTGGTTCAATCAACGCTTGAATTCGCTTTCCATCCATGTCATTGTCAATGGTATGATCCTGCACCCTAATCTCTTGAACTTGGTTTATCGGAACTAGGAATCGATTATCACGACTCGTTAAGATAGTTCCTTTCGAACTTGCCCGGATGTTGATTTGAGTGATGCATGCTTGTCTTATTTCATTGGATCTACTGAGCAAATGCAGAAACTCTGTATAGCCAAGTCATTCCCGTGTTGTTAGCCCCTTTTAGTTCCTCTTCGAATCTCCGATGCAATGGCCGAGAAGGGTTCGAGCTCGTAAAACAGAACTAGTCGGGTTCCTCTGTGCAAGCACGATCGATATCTGTATCGTTTCTGTCAGTAGTTGATCACCAATGTTATATCTTACCAGTTGGTTAAACCCCATTCTTGCAATTCAAAGTTCTGGTCTTTTCATGCATCTAATGATGAGAATGGCAATGTTTCCGTGCTATTGATAGTAACAGTTGTATTCGGACATGAACAGAGAAGAGAAAAAGAAGATGGGAGACATCTTCCAATACGCTTGTTATGTGCATGTAATGCTTGTACAATGTGCTTATACGTATTTTGCGCAAGACTTTTGGAATCTACCAAAAAAAAAAAACTTTTGGAATTTCAGTTTATAAATTTATTCTAAACTCCCAAACAAGATCGTAGATTCTTTGAATTTTTATGGATTGATATATGACATGGACTCTTAATATGATATGACATTTACTAGCAGTTACTTTTGTTTCTTTTTCCCTTTCTTCAGATTCTCTTTTTATTCCAGTAAAAAAAACAAAACATATATGCATACTTATACACATAATGTACACAAAAAATACATGTGACTATACAAATACATACATATACATACGTATATATCTATATACAATCATATATATATATACACGCATATATGTACTTATAAAATTGTATCTTTGTCGTTTATTTATCCCTCGTACCCTAAGATTCTGGTCTTATAATCCAAATTTGGTAGTTCAATAAGATTCAGGTGGACATTGCAGCCGTAGTAATGGGCCTAATTCTATAACAAAGCCCAACTCACCAATTTTAGGCCCAATAAGAATCCGGGTCGAGCGATCCATCTAATCATTTCGAATTCGGGTCGGTTTTGCCCGACCTGAATTTCGACGCAAACTGCAAATGAGGCGCACGGTTTTGGAGGAAGAAGAACCATTTTCAAGAAGGTAAAAGCGCAAAATGAAGAATCTTGCGGTGGTTCCATCTTCTTCGTCATCGAGTTCTTCTCCAATCTTATCTTCTTTCGCACGACAAACCAAGACCCGTCAAATTTCGGGTTTTCCCGCTCGGGTGAGTTCGTCGAATGCCAAGCTCGAGTTTCGCGGGGTACGGTTGAATGGGGAAGCTCAAAGAAGCAGTTTGAGGTGTGAGTGCAGTAGCAACAGACCCGGAATTGGAGTCTCAGGTGAAATTTCCGTGCCTTTTTTCCCAATTTCTGTTGAATTTCGGATCTGAATTAGTGGGTTTTGTGTTTTCTCTTCAATTCTGTTCATGATCTGTTCGAAGTCAATTTTGTTCGAAATTTTTATGTCGTAATAACTTCTAGTGAGTTTTCGATGATCTTACATTGTTAAGGCTCTGATTGAACACGCATTAGCTGTTGTGAAATACTACTAAGTTTCCAGAGATTTTAAGGTTTTAGATCTAAAAAAGAGATTGATTTCTCCAGTTCTATTGTCTGTTCGACAAATGCGACTTCTGCGGATAGAACAAGAGATACTTAAATTTAGCAGAACATTAACTACTTCTGTTCCTGTGAATTCCTGGACTCTGTTTGAATTCAGTGTCATTTGGCAGATGTGTAATAATATGATTGATCGTGTAGATCTTTAATGTTTTGGGGTCATGAAGTCGGTATTCGTGTTATGTTATGTGTTCCTGCCAAAGGAGAGAACAAAATGTTCTTGTAGAAGATTCAAAAAGACACCATTGCATCCCGAGGAATCGGGTTTTGATCGAGGGAAAGTTGTCATCAGTTCCACAAATCGAATGCTTTCATTACCGACAGTAAGATACGATACAAACAATGGCTGTTTTTGCAGATGGCAATGAAAGGAGATCTGTGATAGATGCCTTCTTCTTGGGGAAGGCATTAGCAGAAGTTATCAACGAGAGGATCGAGTCCACAGTCGGGGAAGTCCTGAGCTCGATAGGAAGATTTCAAGCTGAGCAACAGAAGCAAGTTCATGAGATTCAGGTGATTAAGATAAGCTCTCAATTTCTTATTTTCAAGTAGTAAAAGTAAAACACCTTATTCTAACAATTTGCAATGCTGTTAACCCGCTTGAAACTTTATAACATTCTTAAAATTTCTATACCGAAATCCGTTAAAACTACCGTCTTAAGATCTTTTTGCTTTATAACAATGTGGGTTTTTTTCTCGCTAATTGTCTTTCTTTTGGGAGTGGTAAATGGCAAAAAGTTCCCGACTTTAAAGGTTTTAAGAATCGAGTATCGAAAATTTGTTCTAAACGATGCATACATGAGTATATTGATGTTCGGGATCTTGAATTTTGTTTTACGGGTTCTCTTGCACTGGTTACAGGAAGAGGTGCTCGAAAGAGCCAAGAGAGCGAAAGAAAAAGCGGCCCGAGAAGCCATGGAAGCACAAGAAGCCGTTCCTCCCAAGCCCGCAACCATAAACCAGGCACAAGCTTCTTCTTCCGCTGCTGCTGCTGCTGCTGCTGACAGCAATGGCGTAAGCTCAGTAACTCCATACTCCACCGATACCGCAAATCCGTGATCTTTTTCGGGACAGTCGTTAGAGATGTCCTCCGGGATGAAATCTTGGATTTGAAACGAGACATAATATGTACTGGTACATCGTACATGTATTTGTGTTCCATCAAGGGCCAAGGCCTGAGGAAAACATTGGCATTCGTGAGATATTCGTTCTCTAAACGAAGATTAGGAGATGGGTTTATGAGGGAAAAAGGTTGGAGAAAAAGCTCACAGGAATGAACACTGCAGTATTAAATTACCTTTTAAATTCAATATACTTATAAATGGTCAATTCGAAAAATAGTATCAATGTGAAATATTTCTTCTCTGATAAGAGATTAATAACATATTTTAAAAAAAAATAAAAAATGGGGTGAGAGAGGCTCGAACTCTCGACCTCAGGATTACTCAGAAGCTATGAGACCTACGCGCTAGCCAACTGCGCCACCACCCCGTTGGTTTTTGATTAAAAAACTAAAATATATGATACATATCGTATAGACAGATTTTCTTCGCATATATATATATATATATATAAAAAAATCTTTTTATACATGTGTTGGTCCAACGTTACCTTTTTCTAAAATTTTATGATGAGAAACTTCTAATAATAATTTTAGTGATAAATCACAGCTTTTGCATAAAGATATGTAAAGCACAGACTTCTCCACTTCTGCTTGACGTGGTATTATCACCAACGTACATATGTATGTATGTATGCAGGGCCGTCTATTAGCAAGTGCAAAAGGTGCGTCGGAACAGGGCCCCATAAATTTGGGGCCCCATTTTTAAAGCTATTTATTAATATTAATTATATATTATTGTAATAATAAATATAAATTTGAAGGATATCATTTTAATTTAACATTGATTGATCGAAGAAAGAAATGAGGCTACTCTCCGAAAAGGGACATTATCAAAAATACCCTTACTTTGCTATTTCTACTTCAAGACCTACCCTTGTGACCATGTGACCAGGGTAGGTGTTGAAGTAGAAGTAGCATTTTAAGGGTATTTTTGATATAATGCCCTCCGAAAATGCCTATGGAAGGTGGGGGACATCAAATGGATTCCATTTTAAAAATCATTACTCCAATCAATTTTTTGATATAATTATTATTATATTATTGTACAAATAAATATGATATTATATAAATTACTTATAATGTAAAATTTTTATTAATTCAAATTTAATATTAAATTGATTTTATAATTGTTGAAATATATCAATAATAATTAAAAAATTATTTAAAAATTGAAAATGAATTGTATTTATTTTAAAAAACCTAAATTTATGGATTTAAAAAAAATATTATTCTTATCATTAATAAAGAAAAACGTTACAAAATTTGTTGATTATATTTAAATAATTTTTATTACAAAACTTAATGGTTTTTAAAATCATTATTAATTTTATTAATAATTTTTTATTATATTAATTTATCTATTTTTATTAAATATTTTTAAGCCCTGTATGTATGTATGTATGTATGTATGTATGTATGTATGTATGTATGTATGTATGAGGAACAATGACTAACGCCAAGATCCGGAACTTGGATTTTTTTAAAAAAAAAGCATATATTATTATTTTTGCTGAATTTGAAATGACAAGAAAATTTTCGGAAAGATTTTCTGTTGCGAAAATCGACGACAAGTTATAAAATTATGATGAGAATGAAGAAGAAGACGAAGAAGAAGAAGATAGTGTTCTATATATTATAACAGAATTTAATAACAAACCGAATTAAAACCAAGCCGATTTCGTAACCCTAGCTTCAATAACCTATGGTCTTCTAATAACCGGTTCTTCTAAAAAAAAAATTAATCACCGAGATTAAGACATCAATTGGAACACCCTAACATAGCCCATAAACGCATATTTCATAAAGATACGGTCCTTGTATTTTTTTTTTTTGTATTAATAAACCTTAGTCATATAACGTCAAATCACAAAAAAAAACCCAAGTATCTCAAAACTCAAAATAAAATAATTAAAATGAAAAAGGGTTTGATGAAGCATCATTTTCAAGAAAATATACATCGTTGGAAATATTTGTTTGGATTTTGTTCCGAATTTCAAACGATAAAACCAATGCAATGCTCAAGCCATCATTGTAAAATTATTATCATAATGATGAAGTGGTTGGTATGGAAAATGCATGTGTGTGTGTGTGTATGTGTATGATGAGGGGTCCCCCATTTCCCTAGATTTTGCAATTTTGATTTTTTTTTATGGTGAAAGCAACATTACAATGGATGTGGAAATCTTTCCTTTTTTTTTTTTTATTTTATTTTGTTTTTTATTTGTTTTTATGCATTGTGAAAGCGCTCGTTTTATTTTCACCTCTTTTTATTATACATCAATTAGTATTCATATTTTAATTCTGATTTTAAAGTTTGTAAAAGCTATACTTATTCAATTTTTATATAGAATTTTTTTTAGATTGACTATGATTTCGGATTTATTAAAAAAAACACTTCTTTCAAAATAGATTCTTTTCGTTTGGTTCTTTTGATATTTATTTTGAATTTACTTAATTTAGTTTTTTTAAATATATTAAACCAGATTTTAAATCCAATTCAGTTCATGTACAATTTTATATTATTCAATTGATTTTTATTTAATTATAAATATCCAAACTAAAATATTTCCTATTGCCATTAAACAAAAGACCGGCCGACAAAAGTTTTTATACCATAAAGTTCGTGCACCTTAATTAAATCGATAAATTCAATTTTTTTTAAGGAAGTATTTTGGTTTAAAATAAGGTAAATTTCGTTTTAGTTAAAGAAAATAACAAAAATAACCTAAATTTGAATTACCAGATAATGTAAATATAATTATGTAGAAATAATCTGTTATATTTTATAATTTTTATTAGTTAATTTTATATATTAATTATTTTGCTCCTTCAAATATGTTCACCTCTCGGACAAAGCAGATCAGATGTTCATTATGGTTAACTTTACCCTCTCCACCACTCTTCTCTTTCTTTTTTTTTGTCTCTTTGTTAACCTTCACCTTAATAAATTAATAATAATATGCTTTTGCGCAAATTAATTTCGCTAATAATTAATCATGTCAGAAACGTTTTTTTAATTAGATTATTTTTCGTTTCGTATAAATATGACAAAAAAAAAATTTAACTTTAGAAGATCATCCGATACACCTAAACGTTTTTAATAAAATTATTTGAAATTTATTTACTTTTTAGATAAGATGTTGAAAATACGCCCACACAATATTGTAAAATAAGAATTCCCAAACTGATTCTATTCCTTTGATAAGAGTCAAGTACACTTCAAGATTTTCCAAGTAATACTCACTCACTCTCGTTCCACTCCCCCTGAGTAGAATCTCGTATCACAAGAAATTCTATCAGCCCCAAACACCCTGTGTGCAGCGCACACCCCGTGTTATCCCAGACCTCGTCTAGGCCCAATAAGAGGTTCTCCTGTTATTTCAAGGCTCCCCCTTAAGTATATCTCACTTTCTCTCAGATCACTCTCACCAGTGTTTCCCGTACAAAAGCTCTCAACCTTATTATCAAAACCTTGGCATCAATCTTTTTCTCCTTAACCTCTGTAATGAAATCTTCCATGCTTATATCAACTCCTCTCCAAGCTTGTCGTAATATCTTGTCAATATTTGTCTTGCCTTTTCTTCATCGATATAAATGTCCTATTGCCTTTTCTTGCTTCTTTCCATGCTTGCTTTCCAAATTCAGCTCTAACCTTCCATTTATCAATTCCAACCTTCTAGATGTTGAATATGCTCTTTCCTTGCTTTAACAATCTCCCCCTTTTTGACTTTCTGCTTAAACACACTCAACCTCATAGACAACATGACAAGTAATACATAGCAGCAGACAAAAAGCAAAAAGGTTTGAAGCTTAGATCAACAAGATTAGATCAACATAAGCAAGTTAGAACACAAACAAAAGATTTAGCACACAACAGATTCGAAACAGATTCGAAACAAAAGTGAGTAAACACTAAGCAGATGATAAACACTTAAGTCTACTTCACATCTATGAAGTGTTATTCACTCAGATTCAGCTAGCAGCAGACAAAAAGCAAAAAGGTTTGAAGCTTAGATCAACAAGATTAGATCAACATAAGCAAGTTAGAACACAAACAAAAGATTTAGCACACAACAGATTCGAAACAGATTCGAAACAAAAGTGAGTAAACACTAAGCAGATGATAAACACTTAAGTCTACTTCACATCTATGAAGTGTTATTCACTCAGATTCAGCCTCGTCGGGGTTTGCTTCCTCGAGTTCTTCCTCGGCATCACTTTGTATTTCCTCCACCACTTTTCCTTTTCCTTTGTCCTTGGAACTTGACTCATTTGCTCCACTTTCTCCCCCTGTGTGGATAAGCAGAAACTCAAAAATATTAGCCTGAGTTCAAGTAGAAAGCATACCTGTAGGAGGTAATTGACCAACAATTACTCTGAAACTCTTCCCGAAGAGCGTGTTGTTGAGCACGGATTTGAGCGACAACTTTTGCATTCTTCCTATTTGACTCCTCCACTTGACGCAGCAATTTGTCATGTTTCATCAAAAGAGCAAATGTCTTGCTGCACAGCTGAACACGGCTTAGCTGTGTTCGTTGAACTCTGGACTCAATGATCAATGGGCGCTGAATGACTTCAGTGATTTCCGAGTCTGCAATAATTTCAGGACTTTGGCGCACAATAATACTCTGAATAAGACAAGGATGGGGAAGCAGGTAGCGAACTCGCATATCTTCAGCTCGAGAAAGTATATGACTGTAAATAATGCTTCCTAGGTTGACTTTCTCCTTTCTCAGAAACTTGAATATCAACAAAGCCAGTTCATCTTGAATCACATCAGTTCGGCGAGTCGGAAACCAATTTGTTTTACCCACTAGAAACATGACTCGGCTTTCAAACTTAAGGCTGGCAACCGGTATTTTTCCACTGCGTCCGTCAACAAATTCGCCCGTGAGAGAGACTTCCAAATCCTCAAGTGTTGTTCCAGCAGGATAATCTGCTAAACCTTGATCTGAGTCATCAGGTGTCCCCAGAAGTTTGTTGATGACTGTGGGAGAGAATTCAATGAACCTTCCTCGGACAAACGCCTTGTGATACATTTGATCTCCAGGAAGATCAGTCCTTTGAGTGAGATTCGAATAGAATTCTCTCACAAGCCCTTTGCTGAATGGACATGCATAGGTCATCGTTCCGGTTAACTGACGTTCCACAAACAGTTCCCAGACTTGGTTTTTCCGAAAGTCCATTACATTCACATTCCTCTCAGCAATGACTTCAACCCCCTTAAATTTTTCAAACCTCTTCTTGGTTTCAACAGACAGGAATTTCTCTGAGAGAGGTTTGATAGAAAGATCACCTGATTGGCTGGCCGGAGCATTTGGTTCAGAGGTTCCCCCTTTCTTTCTTTTTGACACTCGTCGTTTCAGGTTCATACTGGGGCCTTCAGATGCGTCTGTTGTATGGACCGAGGTGGTCTTGCGTTTCGACGAAGTTCTACCCTTTGTCTTTTGTTGAAAGACGCTCAGAGGACAGTCAGAATCATCAGAACTGACAGGAACTGGAATCTCCTTGGCTTGAGACTGAGACTCGATGCCCTCCTCTTCCTCTGTTCCTGGTGATGAGACATCTAGGGCTTCAGTAACTGTGCGCTCGTCACTTTCCTCCTCGAGTTCCTTAGTCTCGTCAGCTTTAGTTCCCTGGACTAAATCGTCTTCCATACCGGCATGACTCTCAAGATGGTCGCTATCAACTGGGGGCATTGCCACTGGTACTTGCTCTGTTGGCAGATCGTTCTCAGAAAGATCCTTGTCTTGGTCTCCTGTTGTCGCATGAGTAACCTCGGCTGATGCATGTGCAGATTTCTGGGAGGAATCTGCTTCCAGATTTGTATTCTCGGCTAATCCCTTCTCCAAATTTTCACCTGTATCCATAGCCACAGTTTCTTCGACAATCGCAGGAAGTTGAGGGTTACCTGATTCGCTCGATTGGTGAGCAGCGTGTCTAGCAGAGCGTCTTGTCCCTGGCCGAGCGACCTTTCCAGTTTTCCTATTCGCCATCTGTGAAAGGAATTTTGTTCTGAAAACACAACCCCGTGAGTTCCGAACCAACAAGGAGAGAGAACCAGAGAAAGAAAAGATCGTGGGTGAGTCGGAGGAGCGATAATTTAGGGTACACTGTAAACCCTTCTTTCCTTTATTCCCGAAATTCAAAATTTGAAATTAACTTAATTATTTTGCAATTCCCGCTGAAACACAATTAAGCATATTCAATATACTAACCCTTTTCAATAATCACAGGTCTGTTAGCAAACTGAGATATTAACATAACGCAAACCAAAATCATGATCGAACACAAGAGTAGGTTGGGTATACCTGACAGTGAGATATTTTCTTCGCAGAAATGAATTTGACAGTCAGTTGTACTTCACATATTCTCAGTTGCTTCTCAAGCTATACGCAAATTTGAACCAGTGTGCAAAGCAACCGGATTCTGAACTTCTAGGACGTTGTATCGATAGGTTATTCTCACCATTAAGGTCCAGACTATCTCGGTTAGAGATATACTCATGTGAGATGTATCAGCCCACAGCGGAGTATTCAGACATTTTTGTAAATCCACTTTTTCATTCTGTTCTGCCGTCCTTTTTTTTTTTTTTTTTTTTTTTTTCTTCAGCCCTTAGACCATCGTATAGAATTCTATCTCCCAACTTAGACCCGAGCACCTCATAAGTTTACTCATATCATGGCAGTATACCACGACAGAGGAGTATCAGAATCAGGCATTCAAATCTGCATTCGCGAGATGTACCTGAGAATTAGTGAAGTACTTCTGAGCAGCATTTCCATCTCTTTAAAGTCCACATCCACCAGTCCTGTACCCTTCCCTGCACTTCTCTTTTGAAGATTTACGAAAAACATTTAAAGTTCCCCTACACCGAGGGATTTTTGCAAACCAACAAACCTGTTCATATCTAGAGGTTTAGTAAATATGTCAGCCAATTGTTTTTCAGTAGAAACATGCTCAATGATTAAGTTTTTCTTCTCAACTTGTTCTCGTAGAAAATGATGACGAATCTCAATATGTTTGGTGCGAGAATGTTGAACAGGATTCTTTGAGATATTTATAGCACTCGTATTATCACAGTATGCAGTAAAGAAGGGTAAGGTGATACCGTAGTCCAAAAGCATCTGACGCATCCATATGAGTTGAGTGCAGCAACTTCCCAGTGCTATATACTCTGCTTCAGCTGTAGATAAAGATGTAGAATTTTGCTTCTTACTGTGCCACGCAATCATGTTGTTTCCAAGAAAAAAACAACCTCCAGAAGTACTTCGACGATCATCAGCATGACCTCCCCAATCTGCGTCACAGAAACCCACCAGCTCACAGCTTGTATCCTTGGTGTAGTGCAGACCATATTCCACAGTTCCTTTTACATATTTGATAACGCGTTTAACTGCCTGCAAATGAGATTTTTTCGGCTTGGCCTGATACCTCGCACATATACCCACACTCAAACACAGATCAGGTCTACTTGCAGTCAAGTAAAGTAGACTTCCAATCATTCCTCTGTATAACTTAGTGTCAACATCTTCTCCATCTTCATCTCGGGTTAGCTTTGTCGTGGTAGACATTGGAGTTTTTGCTGACTTACTCCCATCTAGTTCAAACCTTTTGACTAGATTCCGAGCATATTTGCTTTGAGAGACAAACATCCCCTCCTCTGTTTGTTTCACTTGTAGTCCGAGAAAAAAACTCAATTCACCAGACATGCTCATTTCAAATTCATCAGTCATCATTTTGACAAATCCAACCACTTTCATCTGAGATACAGATCCAAACACAATGTCATCAACATATACTTGAACTACCATCAAGTCTCCATCTTCATTGTGGGTAAACAGAGTCTGATCTACTCCCCCTCTTTTGTACCCGTGATCAACTAAAAATGAAGTCAAGCGTTCATACCAGGCCCGAGGTGCCTGTTTGAGACCATACAAAGCCTTCTTCAAGCGGAAAACATGATCAGGAAAGTGGGGATCTTCGAAACCAGTAGGTTGCTCCACATAAACTTCCTCTTGAAGCACTCCATTGAGAAATGCACTTTTGACATCCATTTGATAGAGTTTAAAGCCCAAAGAGCAAGCAACACCCAGAAGTAAGCGAATAGATTCCAAGCGAGCCACGGGTGCAAAAGTTTCATCAAAGTTAATTCCCTCAACCTGAGTATATCCTTGTGCGACTAGCCGAGCCTTGTTACGGACAATATCTCCTTGCTCGTTTGACTTATTCTTGAACACCCACTTTGTGCCGATAACATTAGTATGAGATGGACGAGGAACTAAATACCACACATCATTGCGGACAAACTGTTCCAGTTCTTCTTGCATAGCTTTCACCCAGAATTCATCGTGCAATGCCTCACAGACTTTCTTAGGCTCAAATTGAGAAGTGAAACACACAAAGCGAACCAAGTCTTTATAGTTGATACGTGTATTACCTCTCATTTGCCGTGGACCATGAACCTCCCCAATGACATCTCCAGGAGAGTGATTGCGATGGACAGATACGGATGGAGACGATAGGGGCACGGACTCGGTCAGAGGCTCTGTATCAGATACACCATCGTCGGAGTCATCCTGGTCAATTGATTCTGACTTAGAAGGAAGTAGTTCTGGGGCTCGTTGAGTAGGAAAAGGGGGAAGCGATACAGAGGCAGATGCTGGAAAATTATCTTCATCGAAAACAACATTTGCAGATTCCATGACCGTCTTGGTGCGTAGATTAAAAACTCGGTAAGCTACGGAATTTTGGGCATACCCAAGAAAAATTCCTTCGTCGCTCCGTGCATCCATTTTCCCCAAATATTCTCTGTCATTCAGAATATAGCACTTGCACCCAAAAATGTGAATATACTTAAGAGGTGGAACTCGACCTTTCCAGATCTCATACGGAGTTTTAGTCATCCCAGGGCGAAGATAAATCCTGTTTATCAGGTAACATGCTGTACTCATTGCTTCAGCCCAGAATTTGATTGCTACGTCTTTAGCATGTATCATAGACCGTGCCATCTCCTGCAGCGTTCTGTTTTTCCTCTCAACGACTCCATTTTGCTGAGGTGTCTTCGGAGCTGAATATTCATGAGAGATGCCATGTGTATCACAGAATTGCTGAAACGTAGCATTCTCAAATTCTCTGCCATGATCACTGCGGATACGTTGAATAGTTCCCTTCCCATTCTTCAACTGGAGCACTAGATGCTGAAAAGCTATACACGCCTCTGATTTCTCTCGTAGAAACCTTACCCATGTGAAACGTGAGTAGTCATCCACACACACCAGAACATACCTTTTGCCACCAAAACTTTCGGTCTGCATAGGTCCCATCAGATCCATGTGAACAAGCTCTAGTATGTGTGATGTATGTATATTCTCAGTCTTCTTATGCCGTATGCGAACTTGTTTTCCAAGTTGACAAGCCTTGCAGACAAACTTATCATCGTGAGATAGTGTTGGAAGATCACGAACAGCACCTGACTTGGAAAGCTTGACCAAAGTGCGCATGTTGATATGCCCCAATCTTTGATGCCACAAGTCCATTTCGTCCTTTTTTACAACAAGGCATGTTTGCTGAGACACCGTGTGCTGAGTGTTCACCCAAGTGTAGCAGTTGTTAGAATTTCTCTTCCCTGTTAGAATGCACTTGTTGTCTGTATCCATCACAAAGCATGCATTCTTTGTAAACTTGACTCGCATTCCATTGTCGCAGAGTTGACTAATGCTGATAAGATTTGCTTTTAGACCTTGTACAACCTTGACATCATGCAATCTTGGAAGACCAGTTTGATTAAGTGTTCCTTTGCCCAGTATTTTTCCTTGTTTACCATCCCCGAAAGTTACACTTCCTCCTTTCTGAACCTCTTCAAAGTCTTTCAGCAGATCTTGATTTCCTGTCATGTGTCTAGAACAGCCACTATCAAAATACCAGATCCCTGCACTGTTGTTTTGCTCCGAAGTATACGCAACATTGCACCTGATATCCGATTTTTTAACCCATCTGAGATTCCAAGTGGGATAGTAATGGTGTGGTGATGTATACCTATAGGCATTCTTGTTTCTGTGTAGGGAGAAACAGTTCCGTCGAATGTGTCCTTCCTTGCCACAGTGATAGCATATCCGATTCTCTGCTCGTATGCGTCTTGTAGCATTGTTCGAAAAGTGTTTTGATCCAGAACTCCTGATCATTGAGGAAGGAGCTTCTTGATTCAGATTTCCTCCAGACACAAACTTTGGAGTAGTTTGTATCTTACCCAGATAACCAAGTCCGGACCGATCACCAAAGTTTCGTCCTATGCCAAGTAAGTGATCAAGCTTCCCAGTTCCATTACCAAGAAGATGAATATTCTTCTTGGTTCCTTCCAATTGACATTTCATATTGGACGCCTCCTCTTCTTTCTGAAGCAATTTCTGTTTGGTGTCTCTCAGTTGTTGTTGGACTTGACTGAGTTCTTGCTCCAACTGTCGTTTCTCAATTATGAGTTGCTTGTTCATATCCACCAGTTTGGTCATATCTTTGAAAAGATGTTCCTCAGTAATCTCCTCATCATCACTGTTTGCATCTTGATCAGCTTCTTCTTCTATCACTCCTAGAAATGCCACAAAATTTGACAGTTCTTCTTCGTCACTATCGCTCTCAGTACTCGAGATATCCTCTTCATGAGTGATTAAGGACTTCCCTTTGCGCTTGAGGCATTCTACTTTCGTGTGACCGAAACCTTTGCATTCAAAACACTGAGTCTCTTTGAGAGTTTTCAGAACACTTTCTCTTTTTGCAATACTTGGACATTCTGCCTTCCAATGTCCCGTACCTTTGCACTCCAAACACTTTCCAGATTCTCGATCATTTTGATTCCCAAATTTCTTCCTCCCTTTGAAGAACTTGTTGAAATTTCTGACAACAAGTGACATTTGATCATGCAATTCTTCTTCAGTTAGCTTCTTGTTTTTCACTGGAAGTTTGACTTCTGCTTCATTTGTTTTTGTTTCAGGTACATGTA